TTAATATAAACATATTTTATTATATTTAAAATTTTTCGATCATCTCTGAAGATTATATAAAAAATTTTTAATATAATCTCTGGTGATATTCGAAAATTTTTTTCAATTATCTCCAGAAATTATATATATAACTTTTACTCCGGAGACTTCTAATGACGCCGGAAGTTCTCTGAAGATTTATGCCTGAAGATCTTCAGAAATCTTCACCTAAAAAATTTTCTGATATAATAGAGAAAGATCTAATTATAGAAATAGCTAATTTGAAGTATTGTGATAAAAAAATTGAAAAAGAGGCAAGAAGATGAATAATGAAAATTCAGAAAAAATACGTAATCACTTTCAAAAGAAAATATAAAATATAAGATGTAAAAAGATAATTGAGTAGAAACAGATATCAAGAATTCACAAATATGATAAGATTAAGAAACCAACATATCTATGGAACCAGAAAAGAAAGAGCAAGACTACAGAAAGTCGATCTAGTAAGAAGTTGATATATGAAAAAAAAAGAATTAAAGACAAGAAGTTGAAAAAAATCCTACTAATTGGTGTAAAATATAGTATGAAGTGATTAAGGTTATCATTTTTGTCAGAGCTTAAAAGAGTGATCTGTAGTAGTGATCCATAAACAATGATATTATAAGTTGGAAAGATCTTCATCTGAACTTCTAATGAAGTAAAAAATCAATTCTGAAGTTATACTTAGAGAGATAAAATAACAAAATGAGTGAATTAGTTAAATAATTAACTTTAACATTTTATTAAATATGTATAGCTTACAAATGTTTAATAAAGCATATATAACTAACCTAACAGAAGGAAAAAAAAAAAAAGTTGGTATATATAGCAAAATAAAAGATTGTACAATAGAAATATACTTTTTATAAAAAATATAAATTAATAATTTATCAAGTTTATTTAACTTTTTTTTTAAAAAAATATGTGTTTGCAAAATTTTTTTAGAAAAAAATTTATGAAAATTAAAAAAAATTTTTTAAAGTAATTATTATAAAAAACTTTAATATAATAATAAACTCTACAATAATCTTATGCACAAGGGCAAAACTGGTGGCACTGGTTACAATAGCTTTAGTAGCTCTGATAGACAGTACTATTGAGATTTTCACAGATAGTCAAGTTTGCATCTCTAAATAGAAAAAGCTAGAAAAAGAAGATCTAAAAATGATACACAAAAAATAGCTAAAAGAAAAGAATTGATTATTATGGGTGAGAATGCTAGATCTTATAAAGAAAAAACATATTCAATTAATTTTAACCAAGATTAAAACCCACTCTAATGATTAATGAAATGAAAAAACAAACTGATTAATCAAAAAGGCATTAAATCTATCAGCAATATAATGGAAAAGTCTCAAATCAAGCAAGATATCCACAAAAACTATATGGCAAGAAGAAGTGATAGACAATTCAATACAACAGTTCATCAAACAAATCAATAAAAGATCAACAGCTTTATCATGGACACAACAACACAAAACAGAGACAAAATGGCATCACCAAGTTCACAAGTATCAATCCTACTTATAGGATCTGGCATGGGATAGATTAAAAGATGGAAATACATGGAATACCTCCTTCAAAAGCTTACAGAAAAGAAGTTTCCTAGTTAAATTGACCAATGATAAACTATCTACCTTAATCAAGCTAGCAATAAGAAAACCAAACCTATACAAGCAAGCAAGATATATAGCCTGTAATCAGCATCAAGAAACAATAGAACACTTATTAGAATACTTTGATCATAAAATTGAGATCTTAGTAGCATGGCAAAAAGGATCTGAGACTTTTTTTAAAGAATTTGACAAGTTGTATCAAGAACGTAAGAGGGAAGCAGATAAAAAAATGATACAACTAGCAGTTGACAATAGAAAAGAAAAAGGTGAATTAGATAAATGGGCTTTCAGACTAATAAAATCAGCCTCACAAACTGGTTAAAGCACTCGTAACTTTTGCATAAGATTAGTAGAAAGTGCTGCAATCAAAGAAGCTGTTAATCTAAACTATTATGAAAATAAGCTAGAAACAATGGCAAAAAAATGGGTTCTAAAAGTACAAAAAAAGATTTGCAACCAGATTTGAAAACAAGTCTGAAATATAATATATGAAAAAATCATGGAATAGAAACAAAAACAAAGAATTGATAGAAGAGCAAAATATAAGAAGACTTAGGAAGCAATAAGGTAAGAATCATAAGATAATCCTAGTCACAAAAGCATAAGGCAAAGAGAAGAAGTGAAAGAGAGGGAAAACAAAAACCTGGTAGAAATTATAAGAAATGGAATTAAATATGGGATGAAGTGGTTGGGTTTTGATTCTTATTAGAATATTATGCAATGATCTGCAGTAATAACCTGTAGATGATGATATTAGAAGTTGAAAAGGTTTCACCTGAACTATTAATGGAGCAATAAATCACTTCCGAAGTTGCACTTAGAGTCCATATAAATATAAGACTTTGATGAGTGAGTTAGTTAGAGATTTAACTTTAGCGACACATATATAATATATAGCTTACAATTGTTTAATAAAGCTCACATAACTAGCCTGACAGAGGATTATATTAAAAAAAAAAAAAAAGTAATAAACTCTACAATAAATTAATTTTTTTTTAGTAATAAAATATTAATTGATTATAAAAAATGTTGAAATTAATATGTTCAATTTTTTAAAAGATTGAAATTTTATTAATATTCAAAAACTTTAGAAGAAGAATAATAAATCTTTAATAAAATTATTTATAATAGAATTAATTTTATTTATATCTACTAAAAAAACAAATTACTAGAAAATTAAAATTCAAATATATGGTATAGTATATATGACTTTAAAAATTTTTTGATAGAAATAATAATTAACAGTAATTATATTTTCTTGATAATAAAACTTAATTAATAATCTATTTTAATAAAAAGCTTCAAAGCAAGTTAAAATCAAAGAAATAAAAATTTCTAACATATTAATTTTATTATAAAATAATAAAAAAAGTATAAATAATAGAAAAATATCAATTTTAATAATTTCAATAAACAATTATATATAATATTTATAGTATATACAATTATAACTAAAGATAGTTTTTTAAAGTATTTAGCATATAAAATTTTATAGATTACTTATGTCCCTTTTTGATAAACAAATTTTATATCTTTTTATTTTAATAAGAACAAAATTCAGAAAATATTAAGTTTCAACAATAAAAAACTATTTTAAGTAATTTTCTTATAGTTATTAATTTAAAATTTTTAATGTTTTCTAGTAAGAAATATTTGATTTTGTTTCCATTTTCATTTTAAAGACCCATTATTAATTATAATCTATCTCAGGTATTAAATAAAATATATTATTTTATATACTGTAATAGTTATTATTAAAAAAGTTTTCAAGAATTTCAAAAAAAGGAATAATATATCTTAATATATAAAACAAGTTAAAGTAAATAAAATTATTTTTAAACAAGATATAAATAATATATAGTAAATCCAATATAAAAATCTAAAAAACAATTAAAAAAGAATTCTAGATTCAATATTTAATTAGAAAAGATCAAATATTATATTAAATTAAATTTTAATTAAAAAATAAAATATTTCAAATTACATAGTCACAAATACTTAAACTATCAAGTAAACAATTAAAGTTTATTATTAGAAAGCTTTTAAAAAAAAATCATAATTTTAAAAATATAAATTCAAAATAGAAATAAAATATCAATTAAAAAAATAGATTAAAAGAAATTAATACCTTCCCTTAATATTAAAAATTTCAATAGAAAAATTAAAGTTTTGTTTAAATATAGAGTAAATATTATTATTTTTTTATTTTTTAAAAATTTGATCTTTTTTAATAATCTTAAAAAGTTGAATAACAAGATTTTTTATTTGAAAGTCTTTAAATTTTTTTTTTTTTTTTTTTAAACTGTAAACTTGATAATATAAGATCAATTGTCTTATTGAAAACAGTAAGAAAGTACTTTACTAAAATAATAATCAAATGTTTAACACTAATATATAAGAAGTAAGATATTCTATAAAGTCTTAATTTTATCAATTTATAAGAAGAAAATATAATCAAATCTATCTATCTTCTTAATAGCATTTGTAAAAAAACTAGGAAAAGAAAAAAAAGTTATAGATACTTTTTCAAGATACAACTAAAATCAAGAATAAATAAAATTTACAAATGATTAGAAGAAAAGTAATATTTCAATAGGACATCTTTTATTGAAAAAAGATTTTAAAAAGTGAATCTTTAAAGAAAACTGGATAAATTTTTTTTTTCTTTTATTTTTCTGTTGTTTTTTTCTTTTGCCACATTTGAATATACCTCCTATCTTTTTTTTTAATCCAATCTTTTTGTAATTTCTTATATTCCAATGACTTAATAGAACATATAACAGCGATAACCTATTGACAATGATGTATGGACTAGGAGAGTATTTACCCAAAATTCATTATGAAACAAAATATTATCCCCAAGGTCAAACTTAGAGACTTTATGCTTATTATATATTAGTTAGACTTGATATTAATTTTAGCTGTAATATGTACCATGATGCTCGAATGAATATATACTTTTGTATTCATTCGATTAATAAAAAGACAGTCTAGCATGACTACGGGCAACGCGGAAAAAATGGAAAAAATAAATATATAAATATTATTATAATCAATAAGAAACGATATTTCGATTCTAAATAATTTTATTTTATTTATTTAATCGCGTGTATATTGATTTTATTAACATTAAAATAATTATTGATTTTCTATTAGAACGAATTAAGATCAACTTGTAATAATAATAATAAATTAATAATGTATACCAGGAGATACAATTCATCGAATTTTTATTTTTCCTTAGACTTAATATTTGTAAAGTGAAATTCTATTCTATCATCTATAAATTTAACTTGCTAAACATGCTGGTTAGAATTATAGATATAAAGATTATATCGAAACTAAAATTATGACACATTACGAAATTCATAAATAAAAACGTTTTACAAATACTAACTGCAGAGAAGCTGAAAAGTCAAGACGCGTAGCTAGACATGTGACATGGTAATTTAATGTTAGCAAAGGTGTAATTTCTTGCAAGATGTAGGGAAAACATGTAAAGGTACTCTCGTACCGTTTGGTCCACTCTTTAGCAATTCTGTCATGTTCCTCACGGTTGTGCAAATATTGATGTGCAATACTTCCGACCAAAGGATCATCTGTAGACCAATATTTGAATATTTATATAAATTCTTTTTAAATAACACATGGTAACAGTACATTGACGCGACTTACGAGGATTAGCATCAGTCAACAGCGAGCATATTGACAACAAGACTTTGGAAATCGTCAAAGCCGGAGACCAATTGTCTTTAAGAATGTCAAGGCAAATTTGTCCTGAAGAATTGATGTTGCAATGATAGATACGTGTACGATAAACGATCTATTTATAAAACTGGTTAACGTTTATGCATACATCATGAACACAAGCACTAGATCGTGCGTCGCTTTGATTTTTTACGAAGAAGTTGGAAAACTTCACTGTGTAAAAAAAAAGAATTGACAGAAAAAACACGAACTTATACCTTTGGAGGTTTGAATGGATAATCTTGTGGAAAAGTAATATCCAAGAAGAAGATTCCGCCATCATAAGGAGAACCAGCGGGTCCTGTAATGGTTGACACCCATTCGTACAAGTTTTCACCTTTAGGACCAGCGCTGGGAACATAAATATAACATATTTATGAACTATGAATGTTCAAGTGCATTTTAAACGAGACTGTGTCATTATGCTAATCCTTAAAAAACAAACCTGCAATTACAGGGAGGATCAAGACTGATCTCAGCAAGTTCTTTCTGAATCCTAGTAAGGAAAGCAAATGTTTACGTTGAATTTTATTATGAGGATCAAAGTTTAAAATCAATAATGCCACGCGATTTTCATAAAATTCTACTTTCAAAAATGTGAAGGCGAAATACAAAGAAAACGGTTTACCTTTTTGCACTGCTACTGGTCGGATTAAAATTAGTTGCCACATGTTTTCCGCTAGAGGAAGAAGAACTTGCAGCAGCAGTAGTGGTGGTTGTAGTTGTAATGGTTGAGTGAGAACTAGTACCGCGCCTGGTAGAAGAAGTACTCATGTTAAAAGGCTTTCTTTACTTGATGCAAAAAATGGAAGTAGGATTGAGGTATATCTCGAGGTGAAATAATGTATAACTGGGGAGTGCACTGAGATTAGAAAAGTCCTTGTTTTTGAGTCTGTTTTGAGTCCTCAGTCTTTTTTAGCACGAATTGAAAAGGAAAGTAAAAACTCGTGCAGTATTCCTTATATACATATTCTGCATAACAACCATACATCTTCGATCTATATTTGATCTGTTTGTTACAATATGATATGCTAATTGATATACTATATAAACAGAACCTATTCCCTACTTCACTAAGCAAAAGAATTCGGTTACAAGTGCACATGGTATGACACACCACAAGAAATATTACGTATTGTGTGTTGCCATAACCATAAGTATTTTTCCGCCTGCGCGAATTACTGCTAAACCTCTCAATTATTTCGCTTTCATATAGTCTCCGGGGGATGTTTCACGACAATGAGGATAAACTTTTGATAAGATGGATTGGTTGTTGAATAGATTGCATTGATAACGCTAAACACATTTTAAGGTTTCTATTTTAGTGAATATTATAAATATAAATTTAAAAAAAATCTTAAAATACTAAAACTTAATAAAATAAATAATAAGTTTTATAAAATACAATATAATTATTTAATAGTTTTATTGCTTAAGAAAAAATAAGTAAAACAATAATATAAAATTTTAAATAAAATATTAGTAGTTTAAGACTTGTAAATTTATATATAGTAATAATGCATCCAAGTTGTAATTATAAGATTTAAGATTCAATATTATTATTATTTTTTTTTTTAACCTAGCAATGACATGTCTTTATTGAAACATTGAAAAATATCACAAAGTTTACAGACTTTTACAAAACAACTAACTCGTCATTATACATTATTAGTTAAAGGATTATACTACTTAAAAAATATGAGGAATTCACTAAGCTAGTTTGGACTAAACAAAACTAAGTCTAAACTAAATACTCTAAGTCAGATTTTGAGAACAATATCTTGCTCTCCTAATAGCTTGACATTAGTCTCTAAGTTAACTAGGGTCATTACCAATAGTTTATCATTGTTGATTATCCCGAAAAATAATAAGTTGCTGAAGTTGGTATTGGAAAAAAAAAAAAAAAAAAAAACAATTCAAAGTCCTTTAAAAGGTTCTTGCTCTATTTCACAGTTTACACTCGAAAGGGGTTTGCCTGATTGGGATATTCTTTAAGTTTCATGATGTTTGAAAAACTTATCTATTTTTGAAAGTGACTTCAAGAAGAATGTTTGAGGAATTTATCATTCTGTCGATATATGAATTCATTTAATGTTATTGGAGTCAACACTATATTACGAAAGAGTTTACCTGACTAGAATAATGATGAGTCTCTAAAGTATTTAATATATAAAATTCCACAGATTATTTATATCCCTTTTTGAGGGACAAAATTCATAGCTCTTTACTTTAATAGTGACAAAAATCAGGAAATATTATAAATCAATGATTTGGTTGATGGAAAACAATTGTAAGTAGTTTTTAAATAGCTATTAATTTAAAAATTTTAATCTTTCCTAGTGAAAGACATTTGACTTTTGTCCTTGCCTTCTCCTTTAGGGACCCATCTTTAGATCGGGATAAAAAAATCTTTTCAAGAACTTTGCCTGACTGGGAAAGAAACTTGAAGATTTCAACTTTTGTTCAAAAAAATCTTTTTACTACCTGAGGAACTTAGTGAAATGGGAGTTGAATCTTTTATTTCTACCCATCACTCATCTTTCAATATCATAATTGTTTCTTGGAGGTTAAACATATATGATTGGAGGTGACACTTTTTTTAAAACTTTCTTTCCTACATCACCAATAATATATCAAGACACATGAGTGTGACCAATAGGAGCTTGTTTATATTTCAAAAACTGACATATTTTGTGTCAACCAATCACCTTTGGTGAGGATTTGTGCTACCTAAAATTCAGGATCAAATTGAGGTAGACAAAATTCCCCCAAAAACCATAAACATGTGAGTTCTAAGAGGACTAAAACAGTCAAAAAGGGAAAAAATAAACCTTTTTACTGCAAAAAATCTTTATAAACCACTCGTTTCAAAGGTTAGAAAGACCTTCAGATACTTTACAGTCAGTTTTTCTTCCTTTGAGAACTTTCTTGCCATTGGTATAAAAGGTGTTACTTGATTTTTTTTTATTACTAAAAGTCAAGTTTTTGTGCGAAGAGGTTTGTAAACAATAGAAGGAGAGTAGAAGTGACTCTTAAAGTCATACTTCAAGTTGTTTTAAGGAAGATGTTAAGACTTTATTAGCAAGAAAATTTAAAAACTTTTTGTAAACATCTTTTTTGTATGTGATTAAAGGATCAATGAAAAGAATATGTTTAATAATTTAAAAATTATCAAAGTTGAAATTTATAATAAAAACATAGATTTTAAAATTCAATATTATATAAAAATTTAAAAATAAAATATAATTAATAATATTCTATATTTTTGAAAAATTTATATAAATACAAATATTCTTATATTAATACTAAAAAATATTATATTTTATAGTATATTATTAGTATAAAATAAACAATATAATTAATAAAAAACTCTTTCCACTGATCC